TATGTAATTTCAATCCATGCTGAATCCAATGAAGTTAACATCTATCTTTATGTATCTTTAATAAATTTCATTGTTAAATTATGTGGTGTTCCTCTATGTTGCTATTTCAATTCTTACATTACTAATCAGATTAATTACATACACTTTAACATTGTTCAACCATGAGGGGCTATTTTCATATAACATACATGGGCGACACTTTGTTTGAGTTAAGACCCTGTCATTAGGATTAGTTCACATGCCATAACAGATTGACAATGAGGTCATAACAATAGCTAAGATCTGTAGAGGGACACATGACAATTTATATACATTTGTGTATGCAATCAGTCAGTTGGTTGATTTGTTTAACAGCATATCAACTCCTTATAGGTCATTTAATGCCGAAATTTAATTTTCTTGGGATCTTTGAAGTAATAAAAATATGGTATGTTATTCTGCTTTCACAATTGAATACATGGTAGATGATGCTTAGGTTTTCTGTACATACAAGTTTTTGTGGACAATTACTGGCTGTTACTTTTTTAAAGTTATTTTGGAATACAGTTTGATTTAAGAAATTGTAGAATATATGGATTAATATCATAAAAGTTCACGTTGGTTGTTTGATTTATTGATTTTGTTTAGTGGCAAATCAACACCTCTATGGGTTATTTAACCCCCAAATCTAAATTTGAACACAATTTTATGGCTTCAACTAAATATCGGGTGCGATGGGTAAATTATATTTTTAATTTTGTGCATGCTCATTGTTTGTTTATGATTTTGTCAACTGCAGAGTACAGTAGGGTCAGTTGGGTACCATCTGCGAGAAAAAGAGCACCATGATGCAATTCACTCTTCCAGAAATTTGGAAACGGTATGCTGTACTGCTTGGAATTTGTGCCGGAAGCTCCAGTATGAACATTTTAGAGTATTTGGGTGTCAATCTGAGAACAGTGCAGAGGATTTGGAAAGAGTTGGATGAGTCTAATGGTGATTACAAAAGTATGGCATCTTGAAAACTCACGTTGATCATTCTGATAAGAAAAGAACTACCAAATTTCAACACAGAGGCCTACATCAAGTTCCTTGAGGAGGTAGTGATGCCCTGTGTCAAAAGGGTACCTGATGGAAGACCTTATGTCTAGCAACAGGACTCTGCACCATTCCACACAAGCAGGAGGACCCGGTCACAGCCAACAGAAAATTTCTGCAATCACATCACTCCTTACATCTGGCCACCTAACTCCCCAGACTGCAACCCCCTTGACTAATATGTGTGGGGGCACAGTTGAGCAAGAGACCAACAAATCTCCTTTTAACACCAAAGATGAACTGAAGGTAAGGATTATGGCAACATTCACCATCTTAAACAAGGAGACTGTCCAGAAGAGTTGCAAGAGATTCCGAAGTCGTTTGGAGGTCGTGGTTGAAGGCAATGGTGATTTTATTGAATAAATTTACTCTTTAGTATTTCAAGATATTTTTGTGTAATTTTGGTAAATATATCTGTTAAAATGAGATGTTAGTTTTATTTTCATTTTTGTGTAATTTATATGACAATTGTCGGCCTTTTTTTATATAAAAATGTTTTTCATACTTTCCCATATCTGGGACCCTAACAGGTGCTACCACCTCTATGCATCCAGGAATGTGATGGCAAAACACCTTATAAATAATCCAATTTGTCTCATTTTTGGCCAGTGATTTTTTTCTTAGTTGCCAGCGGAGCATGTTCAGATTACCATTTGAAAGTACTTCTGAGCAACCTTATCTCTGCAAGCAGAAGGAATAGTTGCTAGATCTCAATGTAATCTGTAATGCATATGGCTGATTCTCTGATAATTCCTTGTGCTCCAAAATTTTAGTCATTGTACACAACTGGATATCCTTTGAAGAGTGCAGAGTGATAACAGGTTAGTTGTTTTTTTGTTTTTTTTTTTTTTAATAATTTTTCAATTTCCAACCTTATGGTAAATTTTTCTCATTTCTGTTCCTCTTGTTTTATGTAATTTCTAAAAATGGATTTTATTTTTTTTTTAGTCCAATATATTTTTTATTATTTTAAATGTTATTTTTAGTGGATACCCATATTTGAGTAGATGTTCAGTTTCATTTTAAACAGTATTTGTTTTGTCTACCAGCCTGCATACTTGAGAAAACTTATTAAAGAAAAATATGCTGTCCAGCAAGATTTGAAGCAGCATCCCTCTTTGTAGGAGAAACCACCTTCTGACCTGGTGTGCTTTAACTGCTTGATTACGAAGCGCTTTGCAATCAAACAAGGTTCTATTTGCCTTTAAAGCACACTCAGAAGCAGATTTCTCGAAAGGCATATCTGCTCAGTTTCATATCTGAAACGTAAACAAAGCAAATTCTAAAGAAGTCATGGACTTTATTTTTTATCAGACGTTTTTATTACTTTAAACATTATTTTTACTGGATACCCATATTTGAGTAGATGATTCATTTTATTTTAAACAGTATTTTTTTGTTGATCAGCCAGTACACTTGAAAAAACTTATTAAAGAAAAATGTGCTCTCCACCAGGATTTGAACCAGAATCTCCTTTTGCAGGAGGAACCACCTTCTGATCTGGCATGCTTTAACCACTCAACTACAAAGAGCTTCATATTTAAACAAAGTTTGATTTACCTTTAAAGCACACTCACTTGTTCAGATTTCTTGAGGTTTTTGAACAACATTTATTTAATATATAGGGTGTCATACAGAGATGTCGTAAAATAGGTGGAATGTCAGTTTCAGTGGCCGATTATCAGGATGGCAATCAGATGTAAGGGTAGCGATGGAAGTTGATCTATTTTTGGTGTGGGCTTGACTGAGGGCATGGGGTATGGTTGGTACACATGTTGGTTGATCAAATTCACGGTAACAGGTTGATTCATTAGTCAGTAGACCATTTCTATGAAATGAGGCTGTGGTGACCACTACCAATGGAATGCTTTGTAGTGAGTTGGTTATGCTGAGGTGACTGTGGTGGGTTGCTGAGGTGGTGTTGGATTGGTGTGGTTGGTAGGTCTGTTCTTTGGAACAGGGCTGCGGTGACAACTGCAAAGTGAATGCCTTGTAGGCTGAGGTGATAGCAGTGGGGTGCCGAGGTGGTGTCACATCGGTGAGACTGGTATTTGCTGAGGTAACAGCGTTGGCAACAATGGAAGGTTGTAGCTAGGTATTGTCAAAGTTGAGTTGTTATCATGCCAAAGCTGGATAGCTGAGGTAGTTAGTCAAGCCTGGGAGTGGTAAGTCATTGAGAGGAGTGGTCATGTTAAGAGGAGACAGGGTATTATTTTAAATCTTTTGCCAAATTCAATGTATCCTTCAAAGCATTTGTATAACTGAACAATCAAATTGTCACAGTTGTAAGTTTTTTCTTAGATGTTTCCCCAAATTTATGGGAATGGGTGTTACTTCACTGCTGTTGTCTGTTTACATATCTAAACTGTTGTTGTTTATTTGAATTTGCATTAAAATGTTCTTTTCTTTTTCTTTCAATAAAAATATTTCTCTTTCATTTTCATCTCCACATTGTTTCTCACTGACAATCACCATTCTTTCTTTTTTGGTCTGCATACAGTTTGGAAGTGGTTCTTTGGACATTTTCTACACTTCTTTCCAAATGCTGGGCTCTTATTCTTTCTCTTGTGTTCTATTGGAATTTGTCTTTCTTTTTCTTTAATGTTTTGACCATTACTAAATCTTTCTATCAACTCTCAGACTTGTTGAATTTCTCAATCATTTCCAGCTTTTGTGTAAATTTCATGGAAACATTCAAAGGCATATTTCCTTATTGCAGTGGCTTTCTGTTGTGGTAAACGCTCCTACAGTAGAATGAACTCTTCCTCCTCTCATAAATACAAACTGCGAGAGTTGGATAGAGTGAAGTGGAGTGGAGTAGTAGACGCAGTGCTAATCTACTTATTACTAACACTATTGTTTTGTATATATCGTCAATATAATTTTTCAACCTACTTTCATCTTCCTTGTCTTTCTTTCTGGCCCCTAAACAGGTCACAACACTTTCATTGCATAATCCTTTGATAATTCTCATCTGTATTTAGTTCACCTTCTACAGTCTATTCTTCATTTCCAAGTTTTTCAAAAACAAAGGATTAGCTAGCCTTTGTTAATCAGTATAGATAGTTAACGACTACTTTACCGGGTTCTTGTTACATGGACATAGATTTTGCCTCTTCTGCCATGACTGATCTCTTTTTCTTTAGTTGTATGTTCTTTAATATTAATTGACTTATTTTCTGAAAAGTCGAATCTTTTAATTTCAGGGTGGTGATCTATTATTGAAACTTTTCTGATCGCTTCAATTCCTGTAGTCATCATAAAAATGGTCGATTACTTTTCCTTCCCATTTAGCATTGTCTTTCAACTTGCATCAAAGCGCCTCAACCATGTATCCACAAAATCAGAGCCCTCTAAGAATAATGAACATCCAATCAGCAATTCCATTGTCATGACGTGCAGTAGTAGTAGTAGTAGTAGTAATAATTGCAAGTCGTTCACAATTGGTACTCACAAAATCTGTCCTTTTCATGATTACTGGAGTTTATAGTCTTATTCATATGCAAATGAGTAAACTCTTGCATTTGTATATCATTACAATAATAAAATGCTGTACTTCCCTTTATAGGTTATTATTATGGTTGAAAGTATTTTTATTCCATGTCTAAACATATAACATTACTTTCCATTACTCAGACATTATTGCTACTTTGTGGAACAGACTCCCGAGGGGATGCTTCCCTGATCACTACGATCTTAACCACTTCAAGTCTAGAGTCAACTGTTATTTATCCTATATAGCCTAATAATTTGCACTTATTTCCTTCTATGTCCATGAAACAACTTTATTCAGTAATCCTTGAGTGGCTCTTGGAACTTGTATTGGGGGAACATTTAGTAAAAAAAAAAAAAAAAAATATTTTTAGATTAATTATAGTTTATATTATGGAACACAGTAATTACCATAAGTAAAATATACTTACCATTTGTTCTTCAAATCGTTTTGACTTTGAAAGGAAACCTTTTTTGCCATCATGGGAGATGATTACTGTTTGAAACTTGGTTGGTATAGTAGCATTGGTGGCTACAATATTTTCAAAACCTACAAGAAACAATATCTAAGTTCTATTCAGAATTTATTATACAGGAGTTATGAAAAGAATAAATCGTTGCGAAATTGATGTGCAAGCATTCAACACAAGGGGAGCTAAAATCTAACTGTAAATAAAAAAAAAAAACTTAATGCAAATGTTGACATTATAACTCTTTTATTCTTCCATAGAGAGATGTAGTTATTTACTTTTAAAGTCAATCTGTTTGTTACATCAATTTTCCTTTTTCAAATGATAAACAAATGATTTAGTTTCTTTTTATGATTATACGTTCTTTTTATAGATACAAATATTTAAGAAAATGCTCTGTTTGTAATAAACAGTATTAATGACATTTACTGGCCTGAATGTCCGAGAAATTTTCATAGAAAATATGCGTCCTCTGACAGGAATTGAACCTGTATCCTATAGAGAACTGTCATATAGTCTGATGTGCTTTACCGATTTAGCCACAGAGGAGCATTTCGGTTAGCAAGGTCGATTTTACAGTTTTTAAACTACAATTCTCCAGGATTTTCTCTCATACATTCATATCTGCTCGATGTGTATCCAAATGTAAACAAATGACGTCACACATTATGAAATGGACAAAGTCTGACAATTATTTCAAGATACAAATATTTAAGTAAATGCTCTGTTTATAATAAATAGTATTAATGACATTTACCAGACGGTAAATGTCATTAATACTGTTTATTATAAACAGAGCATTTACTTAAATATTTGTATCTATAAAAAGAACGTATAAACATAAAAAAAATGTCTTGAAATAATTTAGTTTCTTGTACCAGGAATACAAACAAAAGTAATTTGCAGTATAAAACATTTCTTTAATTAAAAATGATGAAACTTTCAAATGAAAAATAAATTTACAATGTTTTTCATGTTTACTGAAATTGAGAGAACACGACAAATATCAAAGTCATGGAGTCAAAGGTGAAATTAACTGGTCTTAACAAAAACTGGTGATATTCTAATCTACAGAATATAGTAAAAGTTACAGAAGAAAAAAATAATCAATGATGCTGTCTTTAATATGGATCTTACTGCAAATATGACTTCATTTTCTTTTTTTGCAGTATTAACAAAACAAATATTAACATGTGTGTGTGTGTGTGTGTGTGAATAAAGACAAAAGGAAAACTTTATTCATATTATCCTTTTACAGAGATATATTTTAGTTATAACTTATATCTGAAATACATCTCAGAAATTAAGGTTTTAGTCCCGTCAGGAAGTCTAGATCTATCCTGAAAGCGGCTGACAACATCACCGAACCCAAGACATTCTCGTGAGATGACAAGAACACTTCTCTCTCTCCTTCTCAAAACAAAAATATTCTTCCTCCTTCTACAGATCTTGGAAAAGGAGAAAGTTCCATCAGATCTGAAGGATGCAAATATTGACACCATCTTCAAGAAACGAGATAGAGGCATTTGTGGAAACTAATGTGGAATCTCTTTCCTGTCCATCACTAAGAAGATCCTTCTCAATCGCCTCCTGATCTTATCAGGATACCTTCCATGAAAGTCAATGTGGTTTCAGAGCCAATAGAGGAACCATCAATATGACTTTCTCCATGAGACAAATTCAGGAAAAGTGTAGAGAGCAGCAAGAACCCCTGGGAATTATTTTTAGGATCTTAAAAATGTGTTTGACAGTGTTCCAAGACGTTATAGATACTACAAGAAGTTCACGGTGCTCATCCAAGCCCTGCATGAGGGGATGACGAGTCACGTCCAACATTAAATTGGCCTTTCAAACTCCTTCCCCATCACAGAGAGATTGAAACAAGTGTGCATACTTGTCCCTACCCTCTTCTCCATCTACTTGGTGTATTAACATCAAATGCATCCACTGAAAAAGATGTCAATAACTGAATCAAGGCTACCCACACAGCATATGGGAAGCTATTCAAAAGAGTCTTTGGCAATCCTGAGCTAACACCAATCACCAAGCTCAGTTGTTGCAATCTCAACTTTCCTGTATGCCTGTGAGACCTGGGTACTTTACTGAAGAGACATAAAAGTATTCATAGAAAAGGCAGGGAAGCTACATAGCCATCTCAGGCTAACATTTTCTGCTGACATGAAGTGGAAAGATTATATATTGAATCAACTGCTAGGTCGCTGCTGGAAATGTTGGTTCGGTGTCGTGCTAGACAATCTTTCTTGCCAGATTCTATCATGAACATTTATAAGTCTACCATTCATCCATGTGTTGAATATTGCTGCCACATCTGGTCTGGTGCCCCTGCTATGTATTAAGAGATTATTATTGATAAAATACAAAGAAGAATCTGCAATGTTATTGATCCTGACCTGACATCTAGGCATCACTTCCTACAACCATAACATTTTCTCTGTGCCTTTTCTATAAATATTTTCGTGGTATCTTATTTTTATTACTTTAAAAATAAGTTAGTCTTAAACAAATGTTTAATTGTCTAGATTGTTTTTTTGTACATGTTCTTTTGGGAGAAGTGTATTTTTAAGAAAGCCAGATGGTTTGTGAAAAAAAAAATTGTTACACATGTAAATCTTAGACTCAGCCATAAAAAAAAAAAAAAAAAAAAAAAATTGCCAAAACTGTTAAGGGTTCATTTTGAATTTGCGAAAAGGTGTTTTTTCATATTTTGGGGCCAATGAGAGATGTGGTTTCAAGCCCTTGTGAAAACTTTGGAGCATTCTGTCAATCTCTTTTTTTTTTTTTTTTTTAATAAATAGAACTGCAGTTAGCAGATAACTCTAGAAGGCACTTTAACATCGAGAGCTAGATATCAGTCATCAAAGCATTCAGTTGATAAGGCATAAAATTACAAGTCAGTTGCAGAGAGCCAAAGGAATTTTGAAGTCCTCAAGTGAAAATTCTCCTGCAGTTGGATAAGAAACAAAAAAATTTATTTCAAACATAAATTGCTGTATGTCCCAGTGTGACAAATAAAAGTAGGTTTTTTATTTCTTCCAAAAAGCTGGTTGCACTTTTGTTTTTCTGACTTCCTGAATGTGCTTTCTCTTTTTGTCATTTTCGAAATTGTCATCCTTTTTACATTTAATAGACATCTTTTTTCTGCAATATATCAGAAATTGTTATCCTGCTTTAATAGGTGCACAAAAGGAAACTTTTATGCAAATTTTGTATTTGTACCTTTTTTTGTCTATACTGTAATAAATGACTTTTTCTTTAAAATTTTACAGTGGTTGAGTCTTATTATTTGTGCCTATTTCAACTTTAGGGATAAGAGAAGCATGAGTTCCCTTTTTATCCCTACTAACTAGATTTTTGTGTTTGGCACAATAATTCAGTATAGAATTAAATTTTTATACACATCCATTAAAAATAAGTTATGTTTAAAAAAAGGTAACACTTGTAGCAGAATAGTCTTCATTACAAATATCCTTTTTGTCCACCACTTGACTGAATAAAACATCTAGCTGATACTATTTTTTCTTCAAAAGATATGGAATACTATATTTCCTGTATGCTAAAATACTACAGGTGGTAAGTTGCACCCTATTAGGTAGATATTTTTTTGAAAAAATAGAAAAAAAATTCAGTATTTAAAAGCTTACCATATTACCAAGTCCAAGTTATCAACTCTGCCATTTTTCTTTCTGTTACATCAAATTATCATATTTTGAACCTGGTATCAAATATTTGTGGCTATTATTAGATTTATTCGTAGAAGGGTATCCTCTACATCAGTGTTTCTTCGTTTTCATTCATGGCCCCATTTTTCATCACAAGATTTTTCGTGACCACAGGTATTAACTAATTACACTGAAAATACATATGTTGTCATTGCACAAGTCAAAATGGGGCTGCATGCGCATTTTATTATCACAGCGCTTGTGTGGCACATCATGTTAAATATTGTGCATTTGTTAAATAACATAGAAACTGAAATTCAAGAGTTTGAATTTAATTTTTGTGACCCCAGCATTTTGTTTAATAATCTCAAATGGGGTTGTGACCCCCAGCATTTTGCTTAATAATCTCAAATGGGGTTGTGACCCATAGTTTAAGAAGCGCTGCTCTATGCCATCACCATGAAAAAACATGGCAGATAGTAGGTACTGGGAATTAACAGTACATTTGGAATTAATGGTTGGTAGGCCTATTGAGCTAACTGGTTTGTTTCAATAGTACACCAAGTGCGGTAATAAGGTTGGTATTCTTGGTGTACATATGAAATGAAATTATCAGCCAAGGTGGTTTGGGTTGAGGTCTGTGAAAATACTATTTGGTATGCTTAGATGTACTAAAAACTTACAGTACTGGTTGGTATGCTTAGATGTACTAAAAACTTACAGTACTGGTTGGTATGCTTAGATGTACTAAAACTTAGATGGTACTAAAAACTTACAGTACTGGTTGGTATGCTTAGATGTACTAAAAACTTACAGTACTGGTTGGTATGCTTAGATGTACTAAAAACTTACAGTACTGGTTGGTATGCTTAGATGTACTAAAAACTTACAGTACTGGTTGGTATGCTTAGATGTACTAAAAACAGTACTGGTTGGTATGCTTAGATGTACTAAAAGTACAGTACTGGTTGGTATGCTTAGATGTACTAAAAACTTACAGTACTGGTTGGTACTTAGATGTACTAAAACTTACAGTACTGGTTGGTATGCTTAGATGTACTAAAAACTTACAAACTTAGATGTACTAAAACTTACAGTACTGGTTGGTATGCTTAGATGTACTAAAACTTACAGTACTGGTTGGTATGCTTAGATGTACTAAAAAACTTACAGTACTGGTTGGTATGCTTAGATGTACTACAGTACTGGTTGGTATGCTTAGATGTACTAAAAAACTTACAGTACTGGTTGGTATGCTTAGATGTACTAAAAACTTACAGTACTGGTATGCTTAGATGTACTAAAAACTTACAGTACTGGTTGGTATGCTTAGATGTACTAAAAACTTACAGTACTGGTAGAAAGATGTCTACTGGTTATCATCAATACTCAAAAAGAAA